TCCCCAACCCATGTGCCATGGACCAGTAAGGGTCCATGGTCTGTTAGGAACCAGACCACATAACAGAAGGTGCGTGGTAGGTGAAAAGAGCTTACCACATGAGCTCCACCTCCTGTCAGATCAGTAGCATTAGATTCTGACAGGAGCGCAAAACCTATTGTGAGCTGCACTCCTATGAGAATCGAACTACTGCCTGATGATCTGAGGTGCAGCCGTTACATCCTGCAACCACCCCCATCTCCGTCAGTAGAAAAATTGTCTTCCATGAAACTAGTCCCTGGTGCCAAAAAGGTTGAGGACCACTGCCATAACACTTATTATTTAAATTCCTACAGGAAAGAAATACTTTCACCCTTGCAACTCTAAAACTCTCTTGTTCCTAAACCTCCTTTCTCCATTGAAATAACTTTTTATAATTTCATAAAATGTATCAAGGCTTAAGAATGCAGCTATCCTTTTACAGCAGAATGGACTGGAACAAGAGAATAAATCTATCTCCTCCTATGGTTTCTGATTTTACATGTCTGAATCAAATATAACATTGTAATGGGAGTAATACTAAAAGCTTAAAAAAGTTTTCAAATGTTATTTCAAAAGCAGCAGTTTACATAGAAGTAACTGATGTGCTGACATGATCTAAAACAAGTTCTACTAAGAATTTCTTTGTTGGAGGCACTATTTTGTTGGCCAGGTGTAACAATACAATACATAGACTTGCAATTCAGAGTCTTTACTAATTTATCTTTTAAATGTATTTTAAATTCATCCACTAATTTAGCTATCATCAACTCTCTCCTGAATTACTGCAACAGCTCCCTAAATCTAATTTTCAATTCACTCTCTTTACTAAAGTCCCAATACTCTTTCCAAAGGTCACAAACAAATTTGTGATACAGTATTACATGGACTTATTTACGCATTAAATTGATATGGTGGCAGTTTTAAAAAGCACTTTCATTTTGAAGAAGTGATACTCTGAAATACTCGTAACAACTCTAATATAGTATAGGAAAATATCTGAGATTTCTGTTGATGACAAAGGCAGTTACTGTAATATCACTATAGCTTGTTGCCTACATTCATTAAATGAATTGAACATTAAACAATTTATGAAAACAAAAATGAAACAAAATTTTTGTCAATGAAATTTTGTCAATGAAAACAAAAATGTAGTATTTTTTCTAAGTTCACAGATCCCCTAAATTCTATGCATGGACATATGGGGCTCCATGAGGGTTAAGAAATCCTGCAACGGCTTCCTGCTGTCCTCAAGATAAAAATTAATGTCACATGGCTTATGGGACACTTAATGATCTGATTCCCAGCCACTGCTCAAACCCAGTTTTGAACCCCATCTTTCGCAGCTCTTACTCTGCTGAGTCAAACTCTTACTTTCAGACCTCTGTAAAGCTATTTCCTTTGCCAACAAAACTCTTCCCCTTCTCTTTGCCTAGCAAACTTGCAGTCACCCTCCAGGCGTCAACCTACACATAATTCCTTCAGGAAACCAAGACTGTGTGAAATACTCTTCCACTATGCTTCCACAGCACCCAGTATTTAACCCGACCACAGCATTGATCACACTGTATTGAAACTGCCCTTCCCCATTAAACTGTAAGCACATACACTGTGTGTCCAGTCCCTGCTCCTGGCATATTGTCAAGGACCGAGTAAGATTTCAATACTTGTGAAAGGAAGAAAGTAGAGAAAAAAGGAAGGTCTCAATTTATCTACTGTTTCACGACATGAAACTCTACCCTTAATTCCTGATTGACCCTCAAAAATGCAGGCTGTTGGTCACAATGGGAACTAGAAAAGTATAGGACTTCATTAATATAAATTTATATTTTTATTGGAAAAAAGCACTTAGTATAATGACTGAAAATGAAGGGCATATTCACTATTATTATTTTTTTTTTTTTTTGAGTCAGAGTCTCGCTCTGTCGCCCAGGCTGGAGTACAGTGGCGTGATCTCAGCTCACTGCAAGCTCCACCTCCCGAGTTCATGCCATTCTCCTGCCTCAGCCTCCCGAGCAGCTGGGAATACAGGCACCCACCACCACGCCTGGCTAATTTTTTGTATTTTTAGTAGAGATGGGGTTTCACTGTATTGGCCAGGATGGTCTCGATCTCCTGACCTCGTAATCTGCCCGCCTCGGCCTCCAAAACTGCTGGGATTACAGGCGTGAGCCACCGCGCCCGGCCAGACGTATTCACTATGATTATAGGGCCACGTCAGGAAGACTTTACCAACCTGGAATACCAACATAACTGTATAAATGTGTAAAATTGTATGGCGATGGAAGATTCATCACAAATCAAAATTCTAGTATGTATCTAGTTCAACTATGCACACCTGTCCCCAAAGTAGTGGTGGCAGAGGAGAATTAACAGGCCCAAATCTTAGGGAAATGTATCAAAATCACTGAGGTGAAGGCAAAGTTTTCAAGCTACGGGTCCTCTCAATCCTTACTGTATTCAGCCACTGATGCTGAAAGGAATGTCCACCGTGGTGGCAAAAGGATGAGAACCACTGTCTCGGTCCAACAGTAGATCAGGCAAATGCTATGCCAACAGACTTTATTAAACAATTGATAATAAAATCGTTTCTGTATTACTTTAGCTAAGATTAAACTTACAAAGCTGCAGGGAAGGAGAACTGAGAGTTGGGAAGAGAATCCAAAATAACTACACTAGTGTGAAGTTTTCAGAGTCAAGTTAGGGATTTAAAAGGAGAAAGACTAGAAGTGGGCCGGAAAAAAACCAGTTAGATGTGTAAGTGAAATCAACAGTCTACAAATTGCTGCTGAGGGGTGAGTGGGATTTAAGTCTTGTTCTAGGGATAGTGAGTGAATCACTTTAGTGGGACGGTGCCTGAGTAGTGTCAGGTCAGAGCGTGACTCAAAGGGCTCTGAAGGACAAAGTTTTAATATGTGCATTTTGGCCGGGCCCTGTGGTTCACGCCTGTAATACCAACACTTCGGGAGGCCAAGGCGGGCGGATCACGAGGTCAGGAGATCGAGACCATCCTGGCCAACATGGTGAAACCCCCGCGCTATTAAAAATACAAAAAAATAAAAATAAATAGCTGGACGTGGTGGCCTATGCCTGTAATCCTAGCTACTCGCGAGACTGAGGCAGGAGAATCACTTGAATTGGGGAGTCAGAGGTTGCAGTGAGCCAGGATCGCGCCACTGCACTTTAGCCTGGTGACAGAGAGAGGAGGCTCGGTCTCAGAAAAAAAAAAAAAATGCATTTTACTGTCAGCAAAATGAGACACTAATGGTTTCTGAAGAAGGGTACACTGTGTGGTTAAAGTGATACTCCACAGAAGATTAATCTAAGGGTCTTAAAAACAGGATGAATCAAGGGGAGAGAGAGAAACTAACGATGAATACACTGAACTCCTTGGTACAAGATTCACAAAAATGCTATAAAAACACTAGATGATAGACTTTTCCATTATATCTATTATGTTTACATTAATATAATTTACATTATAATAATTTGTTATTAATACAAATAAGGAATATCACTTGCCAATACTTAATTTTAATTCACAAGGCCTTCTTTCCTCTCTTTTTTGTTGTATCTGAATGTTCCTTGAGTTTTTCGCTAGAAAGGCATAATGTAAATCTAAAAAAGAAAATAATAAAACACTACTTTCAATTTTCAAAAAAGCTCATACGTAAAAACTTATTAGGTCTACAAAAATTTTAAAGTACTACTCATTCAAATTTTCAAATGCGTTACATTATTTATCTTGAAACAGGGAACTTGAATCTGTTTTTTTTGAGACGGAGTTTCGCTCTTGTAGCTCAGACTGGAGTGCAATGGGTTGATCTCGGCTCGCTGCAACCTCCGCCTCCCGGGCCCAAGCGGTTCTCCCACTTCAGCCTCCCGCCACCATGCCCAGCTAATTTTTTTGTATTTTTAATAGAGACGTGGGGAGGCGGGGCGGTTTCACCATGTTGGCCAGGCTGGTCTCGAACTCCTGACCCCAGGTGATCCACCTGCCTGGGACTCCCAAAGTCCTGCGGTTAAAGGCGTGTGCCACTGCGCCCGGCCGACTCTTATCTTTAATAGATGGAGGTTTTAGGAGCAATTTTTGCTTAGAACTTATAATGGTCCACTAAGATATTAAGGTTTATAATCATGCAATAATGTTCCTTAAAGTTGATAATAAAATCTGGAAATCAACTGGTTAATTTTTATGGCTGACACTTTCGTGACTTAAAAAAGCAATCGACAGAACTTCATCATGCTATGCAAAGAGGAGGTCGTAAAACTTACAAAGGTTAACAAAGGTATGTCAGAGCGGGGTAACTGGACGCAAAACACCTGTGGATGTGAATGCCACTTCAAAGACCACAGAGGAGGAAGGGGCGAGGCGCAGTGAGATTCTGAATTAGGAGGCTTGAATTAACACACGCCCACACTCATCACCACGAAATTACTGCGGCCAGTTTGCGGGTTATGGTGTTCAGCGTCCGCGGGGTTCTCCCAAGGGAGGCGGAATCTCCCGTCACCGGCCTCGAAGGCCTTCGGGGGCTCAGGGCGGGGGCCAGTCCAGGAAGGAGCGAGTCCCACCAGTCGCAGGGCGCCCCGACCCGCAGCGGCGCTCACACCCACGGCTCCGGGACAGCCGCCCAGCGCCAAACCACTCCCCGCCAAGGGCGTCAGGGGAGGGAGGAGCTTGACTGGGGCTAGCGGAAGGAGTTCGTCCCGTACCTGTGCTGAGACTGTGAGGCTGCCGTCGCGCGCCGCGACATTCACGCGGCTGTGGTGCCAGGCCGCTCCTACTCCTGCCAGGGCGGCGCCGGCCACTGCCGCAGCCAAGGGGCCGGGACTCGGCAGAGCCCGTCGGCTGGCAGCGAGCCCCCGTCGCAGTCTTCCGCCCCAGGCCGCCAGCCGAGCGCAGCTCCCCGCAGCCGCCGCCATCTTTGCGGAAGCGCAGCTACACGGCGCTTGTCTCCCGGCGCCACCGCCAGCGCTGGGAACTCTCGCGACATTCGACAGGCTTCAGCCCCGCCTACCGAGCGTGCGCCGTGGGTGCGGCTGCTGAGGCGAGGCTCGGAACCGCAGGAGGTGGCCTTTGGTTCCGGGGCTACCTTCTAAGGCTGTGGAGATGGGATGATAGGAAGAGTAGGAAGACAGTATAATATGGCTGCCTAGTCCAAAACAAGATAGTGCCCTCGGTTGTGTGGGCAGGTTTCTTTCTTCTTTTCATTTTTTCTTGTGAAACTGTGAAACGTTTTTTGAAATAGCCTCTTCTGCATCTGTGTTCATGTCTTCCTATGCTCATGGTCTTGACTATTCTTTAATTTCTGCTAAAAGAACTCTCAGACAAGGCATTCTCTTTATTTCAGTCACTCACTATTTGCTAATGTTGAATTTAAATTCAGTTTCAACAGAGGGTTTGATAGTAGCGCGTATCCTACCTAGAACTAAAAGTCATAGAGACAGAGCCGCACACCAGCCCCATGTGTCTATCAGCAGGGACCCAGAGGTTTTCCCTGGTGCAGGCTTAGTCCTGGCTGTTCCATTGGTGATACGTGGTGTAGCTGAGGCAGACTACTTGGTTTTATTTAACAGCCTCCAATCTTCCATTCTTTGGTCTTCACTTTTCCCGAGTAACTCTCTTTAATAAACTCTTTGTTCAGCCTCTGAAATGTCCCCAGCTATTAGAAGCTTTAGTTGGGCATGCAGTAACGGAGCCAACATCAAAGGGGCCAAGACACCTAATCACATAATCACTGCTGTCTTGAAATTTTGCACAAAACAAAACTTCAAGAAACAAAAACAAAAACCTGTCACATGAAATCTAATTTGATCATTCAATGGAAGTCCCGTGGATCACTTTGTTATTATCTGCCCTTAATCCTTGCTCCCTTTCTCTTAGCTGGCTTGTCTAAATTCATCTGCAGTCAGAGGTTCCTCACTTTTCCCTCAGCTTCTGGACTCACTTTCAGTGTGCTTTCCCAGGCAGGAAGTAGAGAGATAAGCCTCACTTCACAGACTTGTGAGCCAGACCTCAAGGTTTGAATCCTAGCTCTACCAGGATGATCACTGTGGTTTGGGGCAAATTATTTAATCTTTCTGAGTCTCCATTTTCTCATTTGTAAATAACTCACGATTCGGCAGGTGATCATTGCTATTTGGGGTAAGGTATTTCATCTCTTTGAGTCTCCATTTTCTCATCTGTGAACAACCCTCTTACAGTTTGGGGTGGGGGAGCTAAATGAGATATTTTATGTAAAGTGACTAGCCAAATGCCTGGCACGTGGTAGGCTTATGACAGATACGCGTTTAGTGTGGTCAGGGTTTGGTTTACTTCTGCCCTGTGAACACAAATGAGCTTGACTGAATGTCCATGATTCTAGATCACTAGCCCATCTTAACCCGAGACTTTCCTGCTTTTTCGAATCTAGCCTGTGACTTTGTCAACCTCTGGACTGTCTTTCACCTCTGCTAACTCTGGTAGCTCTTGGCACATGTCCTGCTTTTCTGGACTATTGACATCTAGCTTGTTTCCTGGTGATTATAGGACTTCTAGGATATGTTTGGACACCCTGGATGTCTTATCTTGTAGCTTATTCTTGATTTCCAGAAACCACAGTCTTTACTTGTATAATTCTAACTGCCTAATTCACACAGTTCCTCTAGGTATTTTATGAAACCTGGCATCTATTACTCAGTTATTGCCTGTAGCCCAAGATAAGTTTAGATTCCTATTAAAACGTGGCATATTTAAGAACAATGTTTTTCTCCCACAATTTGATATCCTTGTGGGTGAGATGTCTTCCTTTTCCCTGCTTCTCTAGCACCTAGCACAATGCCCAGCATGTAATAGACATTCAATGAGTGAGTATATAAGTGAATAAATAAATGGCACAAATGAAACTCTGGGGTTCATATTTCTAAGCTTTAGCCATCCGAAATACGGAAGTATATTATTCCTTTGGTGTACTTTATTTTAAAAACAAAACTTCTTTTTATTTTGCTGAAAATCTTTGAACCCACTTGGAAAACAGTGTAATTAGTTATTTTTAAAACTTTCATTATGTGCCCAGGCATCTAGAACTCTCACTTATTTAATGTATTCAAACTTTTCTTATGCAGAGGAAACAAATTCTTATAATAGAACTAATCTCTAGTCGAATAACCATTCTAAGTATGAAATCTTCCTTGGCAGCTGCTGACATTTGTCCAAGGACATTGACTATATTAGTCTTTTTGGGCTCCGGCTTTGTTCATTTCTTGATCATCAGCTGTAAAGTCCTGGGCTGGGATGTATTTTCAACCGTGCAGTTTATAAACCAACCCTCAAATAAGAGGCTGCTTCTAAAGCTGTACATTGTATACTGTTTTAAATAGTTGGACAAAACCAGGGATGGAAATACTGATTGTTTTAAAGTATCATTCTTAATTCATTTACTCCTGCTCTTTTTTCTGAAGGAAGAACAAAAATGGTATGTCAGAAACACTGCTCTTAACGAGCTTTATTTTCGCTGGAGATGCTAGGCTTGAATTTCAAAACAATTGTCTCTGACGGTTATCCTGTACAGAGAGGCAAGGGTGTAGTGGGCTGGCACAGGCAGAAAAGCATCTAGGGAAGAGAGAAGACTTGATCTGGAACTTGCTGGGGTCTGAGGTAGGGTGAAAGCCTGGGGAAGGCTGCATACAGTGTGTGCTGACAGGCTTGGAGCAGAAGGGCTAGCTGGGGACTGGCTTGGAGTGTCCTGGGGGCCAGGCAGGGGCCACACAATGATCTCCAGTCTATGGAACAGTTGGCAGCCCCCTTGTCCCTCTGTACATTTGTCACTGGGGTATTCTTGCTTCCCCACCCACCCATTCCAGCGTCCCCACCCACCTGGAGGCTGAGCTCCTCTTCTGAATCTCAGATGCTTCACCAGTGTATTTCTTCTGCTTGCCCAGACTTTATCCTGGCCTTTCTTAGCCACTATCCACACGCTTCTTCAAATTATTTTCCTTTTTACTGACAATCAAAACTTCGATTCCCTCTGGGTTACTGGTCTTGAACAAAAGAGGTCAACTAGTTTTTCTCACTGAAGATATTTACTCCTTCATATTTCCATTTTAAGAGAAATTATTAACTTGAACACATCTTTGATCTTAGCACGTGTGGAGGAGAAAAACAAAAATTGCCATTGGATTCTGAAAGATTGTTTACTGCTGTATTTCAGAATAATGTGCACTGAGACAGATTATCTTAGGTGGAGGAGAAAAAATATGGGAGATCTCAAAAGAATAGTTAAAGAGGTGGGACTCCTATAGGGATGAAGTAAAAAGCATATGAATGGACATTATAAAGAACCATTGCTTGGAATAGACAGAGGTTGAACTATATTTATGGTGGATAATTGTGTAGCGGAGGGTATGAATCACTCTCAGAGGCCCCAGATGAGTCAAAAGAACTGCTAATTATGTCTTTTTGTGCAGTTTGGGGCCATGAGTAAAAATATCTGGGTATCATGATTGATACCAGCATGTGTGGAAATAGGTTAAAGTGAAATCTTACTGACAGTGAGAAAGCAGTGCCCAGAGGAGCGTTTTGTGTGTCTTTCAGATCCTCCTCTGCATCTCATTACCTTCCCTCCCTCCCAGTGCAGCTCCCATTACCTTGCGCTATAATGATTGTGGCTATCTCTTAACATGTGCCTTTGCTTCGTCTTTTTCTTCTCTGAAGCATCCTACAGGTCTATGTTAGATTAACCTTCCTAAAACATTTCTTTCACCATACATCCATTAGCTCTGTGATTTACCCTTCCTAAGCCTCTGTCTCCGTGTTGGAAAATGAGGAGATGGGTTTCAGTTTATTTTTACACTTCTAAAATTCTTATTGTATGCCACTCCAAAGTGTCTTTTTTTTCTCCTTAGTTGACAAACTGTATCGAATGTGAAATGTGTGCCAGGCATGGAACCACACGTTGACGACAGCAAGGACAAATAGGATACAGCTTCCCGGGTACGGGCTGTGCTCTTACACATTGACCTGTGCCCTCTATGCTGAAAACTTTTAAAGGTATGTAACCCCCCATTTATGTATGTTTATTTCTTAAATCTACACATTTACAACTAAATGTTAAAAGCCGCATAGTAAGAATGTAAATGGTGATGTAAAGATGAACTAGTATTTACAAAATAAAATTGTATTTTTATTATTAAAGATGCAATGAATGTTTTGTTCTAAAACTGTTAGTATTTTAGTGAGGTCTATGTGATTAAATTGGCTTCATTAACTTGGAAAATGCTGATTTAGGTTTTATGAGATACAAGGTTTGGTATTATGCTGAGTTAATTTATACATTAGTTTTTGATGACTGTCATAGCTCAAACAGGTACCTCACAAAAATATATTAATCGGAATGGAAGGAGTGACTGTACTATTAGTTGAGGTAATGAAACCATGATACTTGTCTTTTTTTAGCTTTTTCTTATGAAAAACTCATATATATATAAAATTAGAGAGACTAAAATGATGAGTCTCCATGTACATAGAGCTGGACTTCCACAATTACCGACTCATGACCAGTCTTAGTTCATCGCCACCTTCTCCTTTTCCCTCAATTAGATTATGTTGGCATAGCCCCTAGGCTCACACAATTTTATTCTGCATACTTTATTATGTGTTTTTATTTTTATTTTGTGTGTGTGTCTGTGTGTGTATTTGAGACAGAGTCTTACTATGTTGTCCAGGCTGGAGTGTAGTGGCGTGATATCAGCTCACTGTAACCTCTGCCTCCGAGGTTCAAGCAGTTCCCGTGCCTCTGCCTCCTGAGTAGCTGGGATTACAGGCGTGCACCATTATGCCAGGTTAATTTTTGTATTTTTTGTAGAGATGGGGTTTCACCATGTTGATCAGGCTGGTCTCTAACTCTTGGCCTTAAGTGATCCTCCCTCCTCGGCCTCCCAAAGGGCTGGGTTTACAGACATGAGTCACTGTGCCCAGCTCATTATGTATTTTTAAAAGATGAGCGCTCATAAAAAGAAAACCCAACACCAATATTTTGTCTTTGTATTTCTTAATAACGCTTATAATCCAATGGACACAAACATTTACTGAAAAAAAAAAGTAGCATAAATTGCTTAAAATGCTAGGAGGTTGGGGGGACACCAACAGAAAGAAGATTAAGAAGTCTGTTTTATGAGTATTGTGTAACACTTCCACATCTCAGAGAGAGAGGTCTGTGTTGTCATAAAGTACACTTATGAAAATTAGTGACAGCACAGCATTTGAGGTTGCAAAAAAAGATTTTTTCTGGAAATACATTTATGGAACACATAGTGTATGTCAGAAGAATTTAATTGGTATTTTCAAGTCCATTATAATATCTCCAAAGTTTGGTGTAGCCCACCAAAGGAGACAATTCACACTTTCTTTCCTTTGCTCCTTCTCAGCTGTAAAATGTACATCTCGCGCACATCAAAGATGGTGACAGAGAAGAATTAAGAAAGACAGCATGTCCAGAGGAGCAAGGGACAAGATCTAAATAATTTCGTGAAATGTTCCTTGATCGCAAGATTTCCGCAGAAGTGTTCAAGCCTGTGATATGTATTCTTGTGCACTGAGACATCCAGAATATCATAGCCTGTCCTTAACTGTGCAGAAGACCAAGCCACTGAGTAAATGCAAATCCTTTGACATTTTTATTTGTTTCTTAAAAACCCAAATAAAAATTTCAATTTCATCATTCATTCCTTTTCCCCAAAGCCAGTCTGCTAGTTAGCTGTCTTTAGTCCATGGCATGGTGTGAACACGTGGTGTCAGCACCACCACCCAGAGGCCATCAGCAGGACAGGAGGCTGGGCATCTGGCAGCAGGATCTGGTTTTTCTCCAGTTGACTGGGTTGCCCTGAGTTTTTTTTGTGCTTCCGATACTCGGAAAAATACACTGAGATGGTCACCATTCAGTGGCTCTCACAGACAGACGACGACCTTATATAGGTCTTGTCTCCAGCAGAAGACAGTGGAGACCTGGCAAGGAGGGTGGAGCCAGGTGTGATAGGGAACTCCCAGGTGGGCAGGCCTGCACCTTGCACACAAGCAGACTGGTGGCAGGGAGTGTTGGCCATCGCTGCCACCTGCTTGGCCTGCAGGCAGGTGATACCACAGCTTTGATTCATTCGCCTCATCACTTCCTCAGGCCACGGCCACAGTGAACTCTTGCAGTTGTGAGGACTTCATGGCAACCTTTGGGTGTTGAGTTTGCTGGGAGTGCTTCAGATAGGGGCAAAGATCTAGGGGCCAGGACATGTTTGGCAGAGAAGAAGAGCTGTCTCACAGGAGCTCCTGCCATCTGTGGGGCCTTCACATGTGCAGCCCAGACGCCGGGACAGCGGGGTCCGCGCAGAGCTGTACCTACTTTGGGGGCACCTCAGCCCGGGGGCTTCCCTAGGTAGAAGCGCCAGCCTGGTAGAGTGAAGGGCTTGCTGAGCTGCTTGGGGGAAGGAGTGACCACGGAGGTCTGTCTTCCAGGAGACAGCCACAGAATGCGCGGGAGGTGTGATCTGTTTCCACCCAGGGCCTCTGAGGGTGGGCACCAGGCCCAAGGGGTCCCCTGGCCCCATGGGGTGCTTGAGCCCTGCGGGCTAGTGGCTGGCAGGGCTGGGCCGCTCCCCGACCTGCGGACCTGTGCCAGAACCCCTGGTGGGGTACGTAATGAGGAACCACCAGGACCCACCAGGACCCCAAGAGTGGGCGCTGGGCACTGGAGCAGGCCTGCCATGGGTCAAACAGGGTCAGCCCCAGTCGTAGTCCTTGTGAGAGGTGAAGCTGGCTGGGCATCTGGGTTGGGTGAGGACTTGGGGAACTTTTATGTCTAGCTAAAGGATTGTAAACGCACCAATCAGTGCTCTGTGTCTAGCTAAAGATTTGTAAACGCACCAATCAGCACTCTGTAAAACGGACCAATCAGCACTCTGTAAAATGTACCAATCAGCAGGATGTGGGTGGGGCCAAATAAGGGAATAAAAGCAGGCCGCCCCCAGACCCCCAGCAGGGAGCAGGTTGGATTCTCTTCAGGTTGTGGAAGTTTTGTTCCTTTGCTCTTTGCAATAAATCTTGCTGCTGCCCACTTTTAGGGTCCACACCACGTTTATGAGCTGTAACACTTACCTGGAAGCTCTGCAGGTTCACTCCTGAAATCAGCCAGCCCAGGAACCCACCAGGCCTAAGGAACAACTCCACCTGCCGCCTTTAAGAGCTATAACACTTACAGTGTAGGTCTGGATCTTCACTCCTGATGTACATTTAGAATTAGGTTCATTATTACTGATAGTGGATATAAATCATGTTTTTCAAATAACTGTCTCGATAATTACCTTTTTTGGGGACTGATTTTGTCTGATTAGATAGTTGTTTCTATCTTATAATAAAGCTGGAGAGCAGAAGCATGATCCCTGCTAGTTGTCTTTGTTCACTGGCAATTTAATGTTTTAGCATCATCCATCTGTGGAGTTTTCGCAGGACTCTTTTAAAGCCAGATATTGGCCAGGCACGATGACTCACGTCTGTTATCCTGTCGCTTTGGGAGGCCGAGGCGGGCGATTCCTGTCGCTTTGGGAGGCCTAGGCGGGCGGATCACCTAAGGTCAGGAGTTCAAGACCAGCCTGGCTAATATGGTGAAACCCTGTCTCTACTAAAAACACAAAAAATTAGCCAGGCATAGTGGCAGGTGCCTGTAATCCCAGCTACTCGGGAGGCTGAGGCAGGAGAATTGCTGGAACTTGGGAGGTGGAGGTTGCGGTGAGCCAAGATCACGCCATTGCACTCCTGCCTGGGCAACAAGAGTGAAACTCTGTCTCAAAAGAAAAAAAATCTGGGTACCCATTCTCATCAGGCTTATTTTCATTAACACTAGATAGTATAACCAGTAAATCCACCTAACTGGGTGCACAGAAATTGCAACCCCTGACAATTTATTGAAAGCTCACGGTCAAGTAAGGACATCTCTCATGAATGCTTCAAGTCACAGAACTTACACTCTTTTGTCTTGCATATCATGACATGAGGCCTTCTTACTTAGGGCCTATATAATATATATAGATATAGTTCTTTTTTTTTTTTTTTTGAGATGGAGTTTCACTCTTGTCGCCCAGGCTAGAGTGCAATGCTCGATCTTGGCTCACTGCAACATCCGCCTCCCAGGTTCAAGCGATTCTCCTGCCTCAGCCTCCTGAGTAGCTGGGATTACAGGCATCCACCACCACACCCAGGTAATTTTTGTATTTTTAGTAGAGACAGGGTTTCATCATGTTGGCTAGGCTGATCTCAAACTCCTGACCTTAGGCGATGCACCCGCCTCAGCCTCCCAAAGTGCTGGGATTACAGGCATGAGCCACTGCGCCCAGCCTATAGTTGTTAATATATACATACATAAAATATATAATATACGTATTTGTTGCTGTTGGATTAAAAGCTTTAATATTTTGTTCTCATACTATTAGTTTATCCCATGTGGTCTGACACTCCCCTTTAAGAACCCCAGGCTACTGCATTTTACATGACATCCAATCTCCTCAGCCTGGCATTCTGTTGTGGCAGAGGCAATGTTATACATTCACCAAATCTCATTTTATTTATTTTTTTCTGGGGCACACGGAAGATATATTTCCCAGCTTCCTTTGCAGTGAGGTGTGGCCATATTCTCACACTCTGGCCAATGGCATGTGAGGAGAGCTGACTGTGTCCATTCTGAGCCCAAGTAGCTAAGAGCCAATGTACCTTCCTCCATGCCCCGCCTCTTCGTCTTCTGCAGAGCTCTTACAGGCCATGCATGCCAGCAGGGATAGCTAGAGTAGGTCACTTATTGACGGAGAGCTGCTGGAGAGAAACACACAATCTACATTTCACTGACTTTCTTGTGTTAAGAGACTGAGGTTTTTGTGGTTGGTTGTTACAGCAGCTAGCCTGGATTACCTTGACTGGCTATCTATTAATATTCCCTATGTAAATTCTCCAATGCGACTCTCAGTTATTTACTGTCTATCATTGCCATCACTTTCAAGAACGTTGTACAGCAAAATGAAGCTCAATATTACATTATTAAAAGACTGTTGTTGAGGCTGTAGCTCAGTAAGCCTTATTGTATCCCCTGGCAAGAATCAATAGGGGAAGTTTCTCTTAGTTCTAGTGATAATAAAAGACCCCTCACCTTTTACCTAGCCTGCTCTTTTGGATACTCTGCCTCTTGTAATTGATCATGTTTTCCTCAGTGCTGACTCTGTGGCTTATGTCTAGTAATTGTATACGCTTTCCGATCTGCATTGTTCTGACTTCCTACCTTTGTTTTCCTGCGACACCACAATTTCTTGCTAAAAAATACAAACAAATCCTTTTTAGGCGTTTATTCAAATGGCTCAAATTTTTTTTGGTAAAGAAAGTGATAGAAAGATATTTTAAAATATGTAGACTTTTATCATTTTATTTTATATATTTATTTTTTTGAGATGGAGTCTTGTGCTCGTTGCCCAGGCTGTAGTACAATGGGGGGATCTTGGCTCACTGCAACCTCTGCCTCCTGGGTTCAAGCAATTCTCCTGCCTCAGCCTCCCGAGTAGCTGGGATTACAGATACCTGCCACCACGCTGGGATAGTTTTTTGTATTTTTAGTAGAGACAGGGTTTCACCATGTTGGCCAGGCTGGTCTTGAACTCCTGACCTCAGGTGATCACCCGCCTCGGCCTCCCAAAGTTCTGGGATTATAGGCGTGAGCCACCGCGCCCGGCCAATAATTTTTGGATTGTCATATTTTTCAGTTAGGATATTATCTGCTTGATAGTTTGCAACATGTTTTCTAGATTTTTGTAGCTCTCCTCATAATTTTTAAGAAGTATTTATTGTTTGATTGATTAATAAAGATATTGGTGTATGTGTTGATTTAAAGTGTTAAATTTAAAAAGGAATTAGATGAGATTAATGGAACAGGAGAACTTAGGAAAGGGGACATTATGATACTAAACAATTAGAGAGAAGAAACAAATCTATAGCTGTATTTAGATGGTACACACATCTTTTGTTACATATTTTCTATATTTCAGTTCAAAGGATCTCAGAATGTATTGTAATCATTTTATAAGAAACATTTAATTTGTCATTCAAATGTATATATTGAGAAGCATAATAACCTAAGATATTATTTAGGCAGAACATAGTGCTCACAAATTTCATTAGAAATCTTTTAATAAAGTAAAAGGAGAAAAGCAGTGAGATAGCATATGTGCATATGGGACATTTTTTATTATAAGGATTGTCTAAGTATATTTTCCCCTAGTGCAGATACCAAAATTATCATAGCTGCAGAGAAACACATACTGTCACACTGTATTGTGACTTTTTTCCAAAGATGATGGCAATGATGAATGACACAGCACTGTAAGTGCAGATAAGGACATGGCATTAGTCCTATCTTAAGGCTGCCAGTATTGGATAGGAAGGCAGCTCTGCATCCTAAAGGCAACCAGTCCATACAGAAGGTGTTGTAAACCATTTCCATCCTTCCCTAGAGATTTGTGGTGTTCCCCTGGGACAGGCTTTGAAAAATCACCATGGCTCTAGGTCCTTATTAACCAGCCACTCCTCAAAGAGCTGTCTGCAGCTTCAGAAAGATACACAGTGTTTGAAAGCATAATCATTCTGAATGAATATTCAGAAAACATAAATATATATGCTGATGTATATGTATGTGTGTAACACT